GTGCTAGGGTCAGATGACCCCAGCCAGATGTTTGCTCAATCTCCTCTTAAATACCTCCAAGGAAGGGGATAGCAGCACCTCCCTTGGAAGCATATTCCATATTTTGGCAACCCTCGCTAAATAATTTTTTCCTGATGTCCAATCTAAATTTGCTCTTCGGTTTGTGGCTATTGTTTCTAGTTACCCTGATAGATGCCCTGGTAAACGTAGTATCCCCTATTTCCTGCTGTCCCCCCCCAATGAGTGTGTAGATGGCCACAAGATCACCTCTCAGCCTTCTCTTGCGGAGGCTGAAGAGATTCAGGTCCCCCGATCAGTCCTCATTGGGTTTGCTGAACCCTTTCCAGGTTATCCACATCCCTCTTGAAGTGCAGTGCCCAATGCTGGACACAGTACTCCAGCTGTGGCCTGACCAATGCCATGTAGAAAGGAAGTATCACCTCCCTAGACCTGTTTGTGATTCATCTACTTATGCAAGAAAGAATGTGGTTAGCTTTACTTAATACTTCATCACATTGGTAACTTACGTTCATTTTGGAGTCAACTATGACTCAGAGATCCCTTTCCACAGTTGTGCTACTTAGAATGGTACCTCCCAGGCTATAGGTGTGTTGATGATTCTTCCTCTGTAGGTGCAACACGGCACTTATCTTTGTTAAAATATCTCTCTGCTCTCTGTATAAATCTCTGTTCTGTTCTACCCACTTCCCCAGCCTGTCCAAATTGTTTAATTTTATTAAATATATGTTTGTTCTGATTTATGGTGTTTTTATAGTGTATTTAGAGGTGATTGCATAATAGTTCGAAATACAGTCTTATTCTTGTATATTGTATGTCGGCAGGTAAGGGTGTATGTGTGGGGGGGGTTGGGGAGTAGTGTGTGTAGTGTGGGTATGGTGGGTGGGGGTGTGTGGAGGGGTGCCAGGTATGGTTGGGGTGGGGGATGTAGGAGAGTGAGGGTGTGCATGCGAATATGGGGGTGGGAGCGTGTGTGGTAGGATGTGAGTGTGTTTGGGCATGTGGAGGGGAGTGTCTGTTGGTCCTGTGGGTGTATGTGGGGGGCTGGGAGTGTGTGGGGGCTGTGGGAGGGTGTGGGTGTGTGGGGGGTTATGGTGGAAGTGTGTGTGTGGACTGTGGGAGGGTGTGGCTCTGTTTGGGGAGTATGGTGGTGGGGGGGGTGTCCTCAGAGTCCCTGGAGTGTGTCAGTCCTGGATCTTCATGTGGTGGCAGAAGCGGGGCCAGCCCCACCTGGCCCCGTAATACACAGCTCCTGCCTGAGTCTCTGACTGCACATGGTGGCAGCGTGTGGGGCTAGCCTGACCCAGCCTCTTAACATGCAGCTCCTGCAGCGTACGGGGCCAGTCCAGCCTAGCCCCATAGCGCATGGCTCCCTGTGCTCCTGCCCCTTTCTCCCAGCAGGAGTCCCTGGCCCTGGCCTGGTGGGGCCCTTACTTGCATTTCCGGGCTCATAGGCAGGGAGGCTGGAAACCGCCCTGGGGAGGCGAAGCAAAAGCTCCTGCCAGGCAGAGGCTTCTTGTCTCTAGTGCCCCTGGCTTGGGCCTGGGGACAGGTTAGGTCTGGCTGGAGTGGGGGTGGTTGCTTGGCACCCAAAGCTGCACCTTGTCCTCGAGGGCCAGGGCCTATGGAGGGGCCCCCAGGCCGAATATAACAGCCTAGAGCGCACTGAATCTGGCTTGTTTGCCATATTTTGCCCACCCCTGTGCCAGGGAGTGTTGATCCCTCTGCATTGCAAGGGGCCCTTTGTTGCTTCCTGGGAAGCTGCAGGGCACAGATCTCTGCTTCCATGTGGTGGCTTTGAGGGGCTGACTGCAGCTCCCACCAGCATACTGCACCCCAAAATTCCTAGTCCAATCTCTAGCTCTGCTGGAGCAGAAGAGGTGCAAAAAGAACTCAGAGAGGAGCCAGGCCCTGCACTGGGCCCAGACCAAGCAACAAGAGAGAGCCAGGCCTATCTGTGCCAGGGCTTGGAGTACTGCAGGGTTCAGTAACACTAACTAGACCAGGGGTGTCCAACCCTTTTGAATGTGGGGCTGGATCACAAACTTTTTATCACCCAGTGGGCCTGTGAGCCATATTTAAAGACCTCACAGGAAATGGTATCACATCAGGAAGTGATGTCACGTGACCTTTGACACCAATGAAGTTACAGGAAGTGACAATGAAATGGGTCTGGAAATGTGGTTTAAAATCCAAAATAAAAACAATATAAAAGCAAGAATGAAATAATACCAAACACTTGACTAAAATAAACACTTTCGCTTCTACTCACTTCTCAATGAATGAAAGAAGCATAATGCAAGTCGACAGATCAAATGTGGAAAAGATATCAGCCAGAGTGGAAACTAATCAAAGCAACAAAATATGGGCATTTTTGAGAATAATCTTCAAGAAGATTTACTGAATTAATAATTTGTTGGTAACACATCTTTAACAAGCAGTAACAAATTGAACCCCCAATCCCACACAAAGAGAAACAGAAGTAAACACAATCCAAACACTGGACAGTATTTCTACAGACCTGGTGCCTGGCCGGCCTCGTGCCATGCCCGGGTTGACATGGTGCTGCAGGAGCCGCTTGGCTACAACTGTGTTGACCTGGTGCTGGAGAAGCCGTGGGGCCAGGCCAGAGTTGACTGGGGGCCCACCCGGCCTGCTGGTGCCATGCCTGGGTTGATATGGTGCTGCAGGACCTGCCTGGCCAAACCCGGGTCCGCCCCAGCCAGAAAAAGCAGCATGCAGCTGAAGCCGGCTTCCTATGTGCTGCTGGGGACGGGAGGAGGCCGGCCAGGTTTGCACCAGCCAGCAGAAGCGGCGGCGGAGCCGTGTGCCCCTCGGGACTGACCGGTGCAGGCTTGTCCTGTCCCAAGTGGCACATGGCTCCGCCACTTCTGCTGGTCGCTGCAGACCCAACTGGGCTCCTCCCGTCCCCAGCAGCACGTGAGAAATGGCCCCCTCGGGGCCTCGTGCGTGGGCGGCCGAGCCCGGAGAGCCGCAGTGACCAGGGGGAGACTGGCCAGAGGAGCAGGTGCCGCCTTGCTGTGGGGCAGGGCAGGGCAGGGCAAGAGGGCTGGCTTGAAGTGGGCAGGTTAGGAGGCAGTTGTGGGCTGGCAGTGCCAGCGGCCGCTGCTTGGCCTCCCGCGTAGGGCCACTCTGGCAGTGCAGGGCATGTGCACGGGCTCGTGTCAGAGCGGGGAGGCGGGGGCAGGAGCACAGGCACTCCTGGACGCGCATCCTCCCTGCCAGTGACCGGCGTGTCCCGGGCCCGTGAGCGGAACCGCTCCTCCGCCACCCAGCAGCAAAGTTCTCCCATGAAGGCTCCATCCTGCGCCTGCCCCGAGCCCGTGGCACCGGCTACAGCTGCCCAGGCAGGCACCAGCTCCTCAGGGCGGGCGGGCAGGCGGGGCCGCTCAGGAGCCGCAGCCAGCGCCACCCCTGGCCAGGGAGGGGTCTGGCCCTGCGAGGGACCCGGCTGGGCCGCGCCATGCTGACGCGGTGCGTGTGGGAACCATGTCCCTTCCCCAGTCCTTCAGCAGCCATTAGGAAGCTGCTGAGGGACTGGGGGAGGGACAAGGGGTGGGAACGAAAGTAAACCGTGTTTACTTTCATTTCCTGTTGCAGCACTGCGGGCCTCAGAAAATGCCTTGGTAGGCCGTATGTTGGACAAGTCTGAACTAGACCAAGACAAAACAGCTGTAAAACAACAAAGCTGAAGGTGGATGGGGAGGTTTATTCTGATCAATAACTGTCAGGACTCCATTCTTGGCCAGTTTGCTCCAGGGATTAATACCCCCACAGTATTATCCCACTCAAGGTCTTAAACCTGGTCCCAAATTTGCCAGGCCTTTAATCCTGGCCCAAATGTGTCAGCAGAATATACTGCTGGGGTTCAGCCACATAGCTAGACTGAAACAAAAGAAATTGCAACAGTAACAAACATGCCACATCCTCAGCCCTGGTCCGAAATGTGCCAGGCTTTTAATCCTGGCCCAAATCTGCTAGCAAAACTGCCAGGCTTCAGCCCCCACAGTATTATCCCACTCAAAACTCTCATAGTTTTACCCCCATGGATTAATAACCCCATGGTTTTATCCCACTCAAACCCCAGGAAAAAGGAGAAGAGAGGGAGAGAATCTGTCCCCCAAACTCTGAGACAGTCTTTTTCTTCCTCTACCTTGGATTTTTCCTTCACATAGCTCCAACTTGCTTCTCCAGTGAAGGTGGGGGGAGACCCCCCTCCATGGGCTGCAATTTTCTGCAGCTCAGCTTCCAGCTTTGCAGCCCCAGAGAGAGACTCTCAGCTGAAAATTCCTATATACTATGGCACAACATCACCCTCAAGTATCCAGTCAGGTGTTGCCACATTTCATCATCTCTCTTAGTCAATTACTTAAAAAAGAACACTGCCCACTTTTGCCAATCAGGCTAGGAGCTGATCCCCATTGCTTGAACCCACTGCTTTCTTGTTCACAGTAAACAGCATGAAGGGTTCTAAACAATAGGCCTAAACAAAAGCCACAGATATCTGCCTACATGCAGTTTATCTTGGTGTTTTGAAGATAAGGAGGCCAGATGCTTAAATACAGCATATATAGAAGACATGATCATATACAACAAATATGAGAGGAAAAAAACATAATTATATTTAATAACTAGCAACATGAAAATGAGAACACACTTTGCAGCATAAAATGGCTTGTGCATTTTGTAGGTGGGTTCCATTAGGTTATAATTAAGCTAATTCATTAGTATTATATGTAATTGTATTGATTAAATAAACCATATAACATAGGGTCAGAGTAATAGCTGAGGTCACTCTTAGCTGAGGCAATTGTGACACCAGAATAATTGTAACTGAAGCAATCATCACTTTCTCAACTACTAAATAACATATTATAGTTCTATTATAATTAGTCAGTGTTATGAGAGACTAAGCTCATGTCAAGAGTTCTTTTTAGCAGATGATTTGGTTCCAAGGGTCATTGCTTTTTAAAGGTTCA